CCCAGAATGGGTTATCGTCAGTGGTTAGGCATGCACTACTCACCGTGAGAAGCTTTGGAAACTGTGTTGCGGGTGTAATTTTATACCTGCCTCTTGTTTTGTGAATGAATTTGTGGAAACACAAAAGCAGCCCGAGGATTTGTGTTCTGTTCGTTTGTAACCGCCTCTGATTTCAAGTCAGACAATTGACTCAGGATAAGTAAATTATGAGGGGTTTTTCTTGTTTTTGTTTTTTGTATGAAGAGGGTTTATTATTAGTAGGGGAGAAACTGGTCTCTGGGTCAGTCTGGTATCTCAGTTGGCAAAGATAAAGCTGACCCAGATACTGATCGGAGAGGCAGCATAACAAATCAGGGGTTAAGCAAATGTGAGTCCGATTTGGACATGACATAGTTCCTCTCTGCAGTAACAGTGTCTTAACAAAGCAGGAGGTGAGTATGTAATCATACGTTCTCCTGTGTTTACTTTAAAGTCTCCCAGACTGTAAGAGTTCTCTAACATCATTTCCCCCCTCAAAACGCTTCCTGGATTCTTGTGTCATTCTGGGTTTTGTTTGTTCAAGAGCTGGGGTTTGTCTGTCAGTGCAGCTCTTAACATTTACTTCTTATCAAGACTTAATGCATATTTTGGCATTCCAGATGTAAAAAGACAGCTGCAACCCTCCCATCCATCAACACCGGTCCACAGGCCTGGAGCGTTTGTTTGTTTCCTTCAGCTCAGAGTAGCAAAGTGAGACATATTTTCTGCTTCTATGAATTTTTCATTTCATGAGCCTGGCACTGTTTAACTTTCTGGCTTCCAGCAGATTTCACAGTAGATGCATGAAATCGCTTCATGAAATCGCTACCTTCTGTAACAACAGAGAAGTTTTTTTTCTACACATCACTACCACCTCAGCAGTCAAATATACTGGATCAGTATCTTCATAAGCACAACTGGAAGATCTAGTTTGAAATTATTTCTACACAACAGGAAAACCAAGAGTTTGGTTCAGGTAGCATCTCACCAGGCTGCGACTGTTGGAACCAAAAAATTGTGAGAAGATATGCCAAATTTCACTCGGAGTGTCACTAAAGATTTGTTTTTTGCAAAATTCAGAGATACATTCCCAGAACTTTATATACATGACCATAAAAATACGGTTCTAGGGCTGTACAGCCAAGGAAATTAAGTAAAAATATGGTTCTAGGAGTCCGCCAATGCGTCAGTGAGTTCACACATGTTCAAAATTCCAGTAACACGAGTCCCTGCAATTTGCGTGAGAAAAAAAAAAAATAATAATAATATGAAAAATCTTGTGAACATTTTAAGACATTATTGAAATTTCCTCTCAAATGCTTTTCATAATTTATTGCAGTCCAATGACATTGCCATACCACCTTCAGGAATGGGGTGCACCCATTAATAACTAAGAACTGGGCAATTTTACAATTAATCTGAAAGCTTTTTTTAATTATGTATATATGTTGGGCAATGCTTCGATTACTTCTGAAGAGAAAAATATTATCTTGTGGTGTGATAAAATTGTATGTTTTGAGGGAAGCAAACAGATTAGAGAAGGTTATGAGGCTATATTCTGGTTTATGCTGCTGCCTAACTTAGTTTATGAGTAACTGAAGAGTTTTAACCTATGAGTCATGTGCATGGATTACATTGTTTCCCATTTATTGGTACAAAAACCTCTGTTCATCCAATATCTGTAAATATTTAATAAGGGAATGTTTTGTAGCTTGGTGCTTTTGTAAAGAAAATTCAAAAAAAATTTATTTTTGTGACCTCCTGTAATGGAGAAACGGTCAGATTTCTATTGGGCCGGAAATTTTGGCATTTTGCATGCTTTTGTTGCAGTTGTTAGAGAGAAACTGGATGAAATCAGAATTGGCAAGTCAGAGCGTCATAAAAATCAGCAATCAAAATTGGTCAACAAAACTGTGATTGGTCCATTTTTAGGTAGGATTGTGCCAAAGTAGTTTTTATTTCTTAAAATGCAAAATGCTTAAAATGCAAATTTGTTTATGTAACTATAGACCAGTTTGGAGCTGGTTGAAAGGTTTCCACCTAGAAATGAAAATGGAGACTATTTACACTGGTGGGCCACCAGTGTAAATAGTGATGTAATGTATTAAAGCTTAAGGCAAAAAAAACAGCAGAATGATGTGTGTATGTAGTCAAATGGAACCAGTTGGAGCAACCTTCCTCCCTCTCTACAGTTTGACTCAAATGGGAGACCTTAGTTGTGTTTTTGCATGTTTATGACTAGTGACTCTGCATTATTCCTGTACGTTTGTTCCCCTGTAAAGTATTCTCCTGTACATCTCAATAAAAACAACGCAGAAGCATCTGCTCAGGCTCATTTTAAAGCTTTTGTGACCATACTTTTCGCTCTCAGATTTATTCCTAAACATGTTTGCAGCTACAGTTTTCATGTACAGAGAGCAAACGGTAATCATGCAGTGCTGTCTCTGTTTGCCTGCAGTTCTTCCTCTGCTCGGTTTATGTGCCCATGTGCACAGACAAGGTTCCCATCCCCATCGGGCCATGTGGAAGCATGTGTCTGTCTGTGAAGAAAAAGTGCCTCCCAGTTCTCCATGAGTTTGGCTTCATATGGCCTGAGGTGAGTCATGTGCACACAGTCTTTATGAGCTAAAGTCTCATGGCAGAACTTTGAGTGGACCACAATCATCAGGAATACCCTGAACTGTTGATTTTATTTACTTCCATTAAAACAAAAGCACTTCTTTCCTTTGGCGTTTCCTTTCCAGGTGCTCAACTGCAGCCATTTCCCGCCCCAAAACGACCACAACCACATGTGTATGGAAGGTCCGGGGGATGAGGACCCTCCCTACCAGCCAGTCCGCCATCCTCCCCTGCAGGAGGAGTGCCAAGCCTTGGGATCCGCACCTGATCAGTACACCTGGCTCAAACAGACGGAGAGCTGCACTCTTCAGTGTGGCTACGACAGTGGACTCTACCGACGGGGGGCCAAGGTCTTCACGAACGCGTGGATGGCGGTGTGGGCCGTGCTGTGCTTCGTCTCAACCACGCTGACGGTGCTGACCTTTCTGTTGGACTCCCAACGATTCTCCTACCCTGAGAGGCCTATTATCTTCCTCTCCATGTGCTGTAATCTGTACAGTGTTGCTTACCTGGTGAGAAAACAAGCAGATCTAGTTACATTTATTCACGATAAAACAAGCAGATCAAATAATCAACACCCCCCCTTTTTTTAAAGGTACGACTGACTCTTGGAAGAGAACGTGTTTCCTGTGACTTAGAAACGGCTGCGGTGCCGATCCTGGTCCAAGAAGGGTTAAAGAACACCGGCTGTGCTATAGTCTTCCTCCTCCTGTACTTCTTTGGCATGGCCTCCTCTCTTTGGTTAGTTCAAACCCACTCCTCCGTCTCTTTGTCCCAGTTCGTCCCAGTGTCATCAGCTGTTGTGAAGGGCTTGTGGTGGAACAACTGGAACACGAGACCAGCATCCTGTTTTCTTTTGAATCAACCTATCCTGTCTCATAACCTCTGGACTAGTTGGCCATGCTTTTCGAACGTGTGCCGGACTAAAGTAGCAGTGGAAACACTCTGCTGTCACAGCTCTTTTTCTTCCTATTCACTCAACCCTTGTTTTCCTGTTGTTTTTCTCCTTTTGGAAGAGCAACAGGACCAAGGACTGCATTCTAAGGATCATCACTATCTTCACATACATGACTTGTGACTGTCTCAATTCTTGATAACTTTATTACAACTGGAGACTGCCTTCAGACTGGTTATGGAAAGTTACTAAATCAACAAATGGGTCCAGAAGTGACATTGACACCAGCTTCTTTTAAGCTATATTTGTGTGAAATTTGTTTTTTATCTACTGTGCATGCAGAAGCATGTTTGTTTGTCTCACTCTGTCCTCCACCCATGTCCTGCAGGTGGGTGATCCTGACCCTCACCTGGTTTCTGGCTGCTGGACTGAAGTGGGGCCATGAGGCCATTGAAATGCACAGCTCCTACTTCCACATAGCAGCCTGGGCCATCCCGGCTGTCAAAACTATTGTCATCCTCATAATGAGACTGGTGGACGCAGATGACCTGACGGGGCTCTGCTACGTGGGTAACCAGCAGCAGGAGGCGCTCACAGGTTTTGTGGTGGCGCCACTGGCCACATACCTTCTTATAGGTAAAACTGAAACAAAACAAAACAAAAAGTAATATGAAATATTCTGAGTATTAGTTCAGATTTTTTGAAGTGGAGTTTTATATCTTACCTCTTCTAAACTGAGTTTGTTTCTAACTTTATTGAGACGCTAGCAGCCAGTCTGAACAGTGCTAAAACAAAGGCAGATTAGTGGCAAAGGAACAAGTCTTAAAAATTGTATTGCAGTTTTAACCTTGGAGTTTTTAGGAGTGCAGAAAATTTTTAGTCAGTCTCTCCCGGTGCTGCGTAGAAATCTTTAGATTCTGTTTGGGACATGTTTTTCAACCTGTTCAGTTTTCTCTATTTTCAGTTAAGTATTTACAACGGAACTTCTAAATAAGGTCTGGACTCACCAACTACAATTTTGTCAATATACCCACTCGATAAACCTCTCTATGAAACTAGAATTGGCCCGTCTGGAAGCTGGAGGGGGTGGTGTGTGAAGCACCTCATTTGGGTTTAAAGAGACAGTGTCAAAATGAGTTGATCCAAGATACACCTCAGAAAAGGGGTAAAAGCGGGGCTTCTGGAGTAACAATAAGAAGGAATCCAGACCAAAGTGTTGCAGTTCAACTTTACATAGATCCCAACTGAATGATTAAGATGTGTGAAAGAAGGATTTAAAAGTATGATGTGTCTCCTTTAAAAAACGGCTTATTTTGTTAATAATACAGAACCTTTTGTGTTTTTTGTGCATCTGGTTTTCTCACGTTAACACGTTTTATTCTCCCTGCATCACAGGAACCTTGTTCATCTGCGCGGGCCTCGTGGCTCTTTTCAAGATACGCTCCAATCTGCAGAAAGACGGAGCCAAAACAGACAAGCTGGAGCGTTTGATGGTCAAGATCGGAGTATTTTCTGTTCTTTACACAGTTCCGGCATCCACCGTCATCGGCTGCTACCTCTACCAGCTCTCCCATTGGGGGGAGTTCAGGGCCAGCACGCAGGACTCGTACGTGGCGTCGGAGATGCTCCGAATCTTCATGTCGCTGCTCGTGGGCATCACGTCGGGGATGTGGATCTGGTCGGCAAAAACCCTCCACACCTGGCAGCGCTGCTCCGCCCGGCTGCTGAAGGACAGCCAGGCGAGTCGAGGCGGGAAGAGGGCGCCGGGCGAGGGCTGGATCAAACCAGGAAAAGGCAATGAGACGGTTGTGTGAGACGGAAAAGTCAGGGGAAGGGTGGACAGGAATGAACCAAAGTCCTGCATTCTTCTCGTACAGGGACCGGCTCTGCAAAATGAAGGATGAAGAGATTCAAGAGAAAAGAGGGCGGTTAGCAATGTGATAGCAGGACTTTATTGAAGAAGCCCCCTGGATATAATGCCATCACATGAAACCCCTGACTCTGTGCCACTAACAGAAGTTATGAAGGACAAAATAGGAAAACTGAGTCATGCAGTTGTAGCAACAGAAGCCTCTCTACCTCCATTAGATCTCAGTTGTCCAGAGAGGTGGGAAAAGAAAAATAAGGGAGGAACGGCGTATGGAAAAAGTTGAACAGAGTCATCTGTAGGATACACCAATAAGCTGTAAATCCACACCTCTCTGTCTCTTTCCCCAAGTCCTCAGCAGAAGAGACGGAACCTGCTGAACACAGTGAATTTGAATGTCGTGGTGACTTCTTTTAAAGTTTGAGATTTTACACTGGAGCAGAGTTTATTCAAACGTAGGCTGAAGTTTCCCCAAACGCACCCCAACAACTATTTCTGCAGTCAAAATTACCATTACAAAAAAAAATAAAAAATAAATAAATAAAATAAAACTGTGATAAAATATAACATATCGCCTTTAATCTCAATTTGCTTCCATTTAAACAATCTACATTTCTTTAAGTTGTACTTGATGTTAGTACAAAAGTACAGTTGCTTTGAATTTTGTGGAAACCAGCTCTAAGCTGTAATGCTGCACTATAATTGTATAATATGTGAAGTCTGATAAATGTGCACAGAGCTGTTAACAGGGATGGTGAGTCAATAAAAATGCTGCAAATAAATAAAAAAGGCAAGACAATGACATTTTGTATTCAAGGTAAATATAACTTTTTGTTGCCTCTTTTTGTTAAAAGCATCATCGCATCTGGAAATTATCGGCCTTTGTGTTTCACTTCAAACCCAGAACTTGCAGTGATGTATGCAGTCTTCCTGGGAACCCGGTGCTGAATGTGCTCTTGGGTTACCATAAAACCCAGGAAATTTAATTATTACCCCAGCCCTTTTTTTTTTTCTTTGCAAACCCTGGATCCAAGCGCAGGTTACAGAATGAGAAGTTATGGGACAATCTGTTGCCAGAATACACATTATGCAACTCTGAAGGGCTGTCACAGAGTTATAGCTTTTTATACATGCACATACTGTGTTGTGCACGAGTTTAGGTCTAACTCTGTTTTGTTTTGGGGGTTTTTGTCCACTTTATGTGCGTTCAGAGAAGCCGCTTTTGGTTTTAAATGAGCAGCTGTGCTTCTCAAAGTGTGTTTATGTGGTAAGAATGTGAAGATTTGAGCATTTTAGCCGCAGTACCATCTGGTGCAGGACTTGAAGGGATAGTTTACGTCTTTTGAAGTTGGGTTTTGTGGAAAGGTTACGAATAATTAACCTGTTGCTTGTTGGAGATAGCTCTTTGAATGACCTCAGTTTGTAGAAATAGAGTTTAGTTTTGATAAGCTAACAAGATGTTAGCTTAAAACTGTCTTTCAGTCCAGAAGATTCATAGCTGTTGATACAGGTGCTTTTTTTTTACTTTCTAGCACTATCTATATCACAGGCAGAAGTAACTTTTCTGCTGGAGGTTTTCCAGAGGGCGCAAGAACTGCTAAAGTTAGCGTCTGCTGTTAGCTCTTGCTAATAACAGCAGGATTGTTTGTAAATGCCAGTGTAACACAAAACTGATAGTCATGTAAAAGTTAAAAAATAGTGCTTGAATAAGCTGCTTTGAAAATGATAAGGCATAAACTTGGATGTAAACTCTTATTTTTTCAAAGTGAAGTACAAAATACTATCAACGACACATTTATTTGTCCATAATAACCTTTACACAGAACTCCACTGCCAAAGATCTGAACTATTCCTTTAGGTGTTGAAGTGTCTTAACACCGTTGTAAGGGCATGTTGTAACAAATATAAACACATGAATCAATATAACCACCCTTGTAATCTATGGCTGCATCAATCACAGTCAGGATTTAATGAAAAGAGACATTTCCTGTGAAATTGACATTGATTTATTTATGTTACTGTAAAAGTGACATCATTAACTTACACATCTGTCTGAAGCTTGTGCTTTTTTAAAACTTTTCAAATACACCAAGACTTTTCCCCCAGACAATTAAGACCTTCCTGGAATACATTTTTATACATTTCATGTATGATAGAAACAAGATTTGTGGTCTGTTGTTTCGTTTGACAAGCAAGCCTTTCTGATGATATAGTTATAAGCTTTAAATCCAGTGAGTTTGTGTTCTGGACTCATCCTCTCTGAAAGTGCTCCTATGTATTTGCCTGACAATCGATGTAACAATGCTCTTGCATTTTAATGAGACTTTTGTATGTTTATGTGCCGGGTGTCCATTTAAACCAACTATTATTTAGTAGAATAATCTCATTTTGGGTAACTGAAATCTGATGCAGTTTGAATAAGTTTTGGTCTTTGTCAGCATGTGTGCTATCTGTAACCGTATAGTGCCTCACACAACTTGTTCGATATGTTTTTGGTGAATGTTTAGAAAGGAATTAGGGGAAAAGAAAAATCATTTCTGAGCTGCGTTCCTCGCCCCTTCAAGGTGCGTTCAGACAGGAAGGTCCTGGTTGAAACTGAGCTCATGTTTCTCAGACCAGCACACTGTGGATCACTTATTAAATTCCCAAAGTCAAACAAACATTACATTCACTTAAAGCGAATTAAATTAACCTCTGACCACCTCCCCTCTGAGCTAATGTAGTTCCCGTCTTAGACTGTCCCAATGTTTTGGCTTGGCCCTTTCTTCTGACCACACAGCTAAACGGTGACATTTTCAAACAATCGCAGAAAGAGCCTTGAAACGCAGCTCAGAGTGTGCAAAAAACGTAACCACTAGTCGTGCAGGTTTGTAAATTCTTTTAGGGGCTCGGATCAGAATCACCACTAAGGTTTGTTGGCCCACACGGATCGTGGCCAAGGTTTGGACTGCTCCCTCATGTAGAGCACTCCTTTTGTGTTTTTTTTTTTTTTGTTGTTTTTTGTTTTGTTTTGTTTTTTGACATTGTAATACAAAGAAAGTGCTAATTTATCCTTGTAAAAATGTGACAAATTTTAAAAACTTGTTTATTTAAAGAGAAAAAAATGAACTTTTGTATCAGAAGATGATGAATAAAAACATTTTTGGATTCCAGTTTATTGAAATATTAGCTGTTTGTATTTGTCTCTACAGTAAAGAGGTGCACACAAGTGTGTATGTGCGAGGACATTCTCTCATAGAATTACCTACTTTGCCAGAACCTGTAGCCCTTATAGGAAACAAAAAATTCTATCTTAATACAGTGGAACATTATTTTGTGTGTTAGGTTTAGGGCTTTGTCTTTAAAAGGATAGAAATATCCACATCTATGTGTGTTTGCAACAGAATTCGAGCTGCTAGAGTTTATTTTGTATAATCAGTTTACCACAAATGAATTCAACAAAACATCAGAAAACAATAGGAAAAGTATATTTTATATTTTATCTCATTTAATGTTTAATTTTTAAAAAGGGAAGACATTTGAAATACATGAAAACGTATTCATTGCAAAAAGACAATAAGAGAAAGAAAAGGTTTGAGCTGAAGAGGTTGTGCCTCGGTTGTGTTGACTTCTCTGTGCTTCCTAAAAGCCACACTGACTGAGTTAAAAATAGAGAATAATTGACAAAGTTTCAGGACTAATGCTCTGCTGCCCATCATGAGTTCTTTACTTCCTGAGTTGGACAATGCTGCCACCTCTTGTCTGCAGTGACAATGTTAAGTTTCAGTTTTTTCATAAAATATTTCAGGACAGTTTGCTTTCTAATAAGCATATGAAGGTAAAATGCAAATATTATTTTTTAAAGCTACATTTGATGACATTAAGAAATGATAAGCTCCAAAGTTGATATAAATCTAGAGTGCAATTATGGGGATTCGGCTATGCAAACTATAGCAGCTCAATACAAAATGCATAAAACACAAGCATAGCAAACCCACTCAAGCATCAAACACATACGGCATTTACTTTACTTACCTATATATTTGAAGCTGCAATTTATCAGTGTGTGTGTGTCAGAAACAAGATGAGACCGAGGGTCCAAATATGTGTGCAGCTCTGATTGCCTTCCTGTAATTTACTGAGTGAATTGAGTGTTTGTTTAAGCGCATGCTTAAAACTCTTGAAGCAAAGAGAAAGTGACAGCATCTACTGGGCTATTGTTTCCAGATGTGGCTCCACTCACACACACACACACACACACACACACACACACACACACACACACACACACACACACACTGTTATCTCTGCTCTGAGCCACTTGGTGGAGTTCTTTAAAATCAATGCAGATATCAGAGCTGAGCCACCTCAGGCCCTCCCCCTCCCTCCCCTCTCTGAAACAAACAAAAACCTCAGACCGGGACCAGATCCTGGACCGGTTCTGCTGCAGGCTGTGTGTGCAGCTCCTCCCTGTCAGAAAAACACAAATATAAACTTTTAATACACTGGAAAAAACTGAACGATTAATTAATTACTTTCTATTTTTTACAGTGTTTGAGACGAAAACAGACTCACCTTAAAAACCTGATCCACAATAAAGACTGGAACCAGGTGGTGGT